AGCCCACCCAGCTCAGGGCTGCTCCTGTGCTGGGACAGCAAGGAGAGAGAAGGGTCTTGCCAGGCAGATGCTCAGCCCGAGCCCAGAGCTGTCACCTTCCTACCTTGTTCTTGGCTTCCTCTTCCAGCCGCCTCTTCTTGTCCAGGGTTTTGGTGGTGACGCTGCTGGTCGTGTTCTGCTGCTCTTCCTCCGCCTTCACCGCCATGTACTTGGCCTTGTCGTGCTCCTCGCTGCGCTGCATGTACGTCTGCTTGGCCTTGCGCAGGTTCACCTCTGCCTCTTGCTGCCGGTGAAAACAGTGACCCGCGGTGAGGACTGAAGGCTGCGAGGGCTTCGTTACCTCCCGCAATCTACACGGGGCCCAACGTTGCTCACGTGTCCCCCAGCACAGAGGAGGCAACGTCGGACAAGGCGCCTGACGCTACTGGCGAGGGGCAAAGGGTCCAGCGTTCTGAGGTGTCACGGGGGTGCTCCAGACCAGGCTCGGGGAGCACAGACCCAGCCTGTGCTGGTGGCTCTTACTCACCAGTTTCCTCTGCGCCCGGTGCCACTGCTCCTTGATCTCCTTCCTCCGCTTCTCGTGTTCAAGGCGTCTCACCGTCAGCGGCTGAATCAGGAGGGAGAAACAGCCCCCGCGGTGGTCTGAGCTAAACGCTCGCTGCTCTTCCCTTTGCAAAAGGCTTTGCAAGGAGAAGTTCCCTGGGGCGGCTGTTATCATTCCCCGGCACATCTGGGCTCGGTTACAGGAGGGTTTGTGTCACGGACACAAATCTGCAGCCTGGGAAGTGCCCGATCGGTTTCCCGCCAGCCCGAGCTGAGCAAGAGCCACCCTCTGCAGCGCCAGGACACCGGCTCCCTCCCTGGCAAACAGCTCTGGGGAGCGGCTCCCCCGGGAGATGGGTGCAGCTCGGTCCGGGCAGAATTCCTCTCTGGGAGTGCAGAGAGGGCTCGGATGAGGTGGACATCGATAAGGTGGTGCAGCTTCCTTTCCCAGCCTTGGGGGGGGTCTGGACCCCGCGCCTAACCCCTGGAAGGACTCGGCAACTGGCTGAGAGCTCATCGATCTGCTGAGGCCAGAGCAAAGCCAGGGAATGCCAAGCCCGAGCGGTGGCTGAGCCGAGCAGCAACCGGATTCCAGTTTCTGGAAGAGCTGCCCGTGGCAGAAGGACCAAGGTGACCACCAGCCTCCCTCGCTGCCCGGGGGAGACCCTTCTGAGACGGCCTTTTGTCCCCTCACCTGGAGGAAGGTTTGGTGCTGCAGGGTGGTGGCAGCCTGCAGAACCGACGTCCCGTGCTCCATGTCCTGCTCCAGGGCCAGCAGGTAGATGGACAGGAAAGGCATGTTGGTCTGAGAAAGGAGAGAATGCACCACCCTGAGCCCCAGCACCGCAGCGGGAACCGGAGGAGATGCGTCCTGCAGCGCCGCGTTCGGGGGAGAAGAGCCGGAGGTTCGGCTTGGCCGCCCGCTGCTGGTAAAAGCGCCGTCCTGGACCGAGACGGTGCGGTCACAGGCTGCCAAGGCACGGCTCGGAGGGAGG